CTGCATAATATGATATTAAAGTAATGCCGAATCCTTTCCTCTTTTAACATCAAAAATATATTGTATACTGACAGTAATGAACTTTATAAGCATTTTTTTAAATAAATGTTCTCAAATGAAATTAGTTACAATAAGTACCATGCCTAAGTTAATAATGGAAAGTTGTAATAATCTAAAAACATTAATTATGACTTACAAGTTTTTAAATGAAGACTTAAAATAAATTAATTACATATTCTCACCTTAATTATTAAATGTAGACTGTGACATTCCAGAGTTTGCAGGTGTGATAAGCAAACCAAATCCAGGAAGAATTCCATGACAGAAAAATTGTTGTTTCAATGGAATTCAAATAAATCTTCAGTTGCTTTCACCCATAATTAAAAATTATCTGTATAGCGTTGCAAGGTGAAGACGAAAACAGCAAATCAAGAATGTAGTTCAGGATAGACGCCATTCATGTAGACTTTAATTGTTCTTTCATTTGTTGGATAATCTGCAGAAATAAACAAAAAACCTATTATTTAAGGATTAATTACACTCCTATATAAAAAAGATATGAAATGTTTTAAAAACATGCACCAAAAAGCTACTAAAATAGACCACACCTATGTACACTGGTTGTTTCAGTATTATCAAACTGAACTTTAATTCCATCTCATTTCTTGAACGATCTGTAGAAATGCATAAAAAAAATATTAATTACACTATTAATTTAGAATGAGATTGAACAGACCTAAAAACGCACTAGAAAGCAAGTAAAATAGACGAATTATAAAATGGAGACAAGCGTAAGTTTACATAATGACAGACCATATCCGACAGACAAAAGTTTTGTATGTATCATGTATTATACTTATTTGAAATAAATATCGTTGTAAGAAATGTTAATAAATAATTTTTGTATCTCAATAAATAATTTATTCATTATTGCGTTTTCATTTTTGTGTTTCACATTGTCTAACAGTCCTCCAATGTATTTTTTAAAAGAATGTAATGGAAATTGTGGCCTTTTACCGCCTGAAATCTATTCATGTTTTTCCGCACTGGCGACCTCTACCAGAAAACGGCTGAACTAGAAGGTTCGACCTTTCGCCGCTAGAGGTGCTACGAGTACGAGGGTTGGTCAGAAAGTAATGGAAAAATAAAAATTTGAAAAGACCCATTGCAACTTATGCTCTCCTAATACAAATGTTGGAATTTATGAAAATTTTCGATTTTGAGCCAAATACGAGGGTTGGTCAGAAAGTAATGGAAAAATCAAAAATTTGGAAAAAGACCCAATGCAACTTATGCTCTCCTAATACAAATGTTGGAATTTATGAAAATTTTCGGTTTTGAACCAAATACGAGGGTTAATCAGAAAGTAATCGAAAAATCAAAAATTTGAAAAGACCCATTGCAACTTATGCTCTCCTAATACAAATGTTGGAATTTATGAAAATTTTCGATTTTGAGCCAAATACGAGGGTTGGTCAGAAAGTAATGGAAAAATCAAAAATTTGGAAGGAAGAAAAGGATAATGATTAAATATTTAAATTTTCCGCGTAACAGACGTCTAATTATAATATAATTACTTATATGCATCTATGGTGCATCTTGTCTGAAAAGAAACCACGTCATTTTAAAAGTAACAATTATACAAATTCACTTGCTTTTTTTCTGAGTGTTTGTATTATATTTTATTATTTAACTTCATACAATAGTTATTTCGTTATTTCTCTATTTTTACAGATTGAAGATAAACAAGTG